TTACTAACAAATTGGTTTTTACTCTTAACAATGGAGAAATCTGACTGCAAAGCAGTAAAATGTATTCAATTATGCTTTTTGCATCATGAAGTGAACCACCAGCTAGGTTTCCAGCTCACATGCTATTGTTGGGGACCAGGGGGAAAGGATTTACAACTTGGGGCACCATCCCGGCTGTACTGTCAGAGGCAGAGCTGAGCTTGCAGTGTGAGAGGGAAGATACACCCAGCAACTGTTGGTGCTCTCAGCACAGTCTCCGCTGGTGATCCGGAAGTGTAGTCACAGAAACCCTTAACTCCACTTCCTAATATAATTTTTAGATTTATCATTAATTGATGGTCTCTTTTATTTTTTCTTATTTCCATTGATCATTTCAGTCCCCAGCTTAAAATAAGTGAGTAGCTACCCATTGTTTTCATATAAAACCCCAAACCCTTCCCACGGCCTGCAAGCCCTGTCTTCCTGGTCTGGCCTCACTCTCCCTCGCCCTTTGCTCCAGCCACACTGGTCTTTTTTCACTTCCTGAGGAAGTATTATCTTCAACAACAGGGCGTCCGTCACATCCCTGCTATCTACAGCAATCCCCCTGGCCACCACCACCTGTGTCTTCAATTTCACTCATACTCTGTGGCCCCTGCTTGGTCATCACTTCCTCAGGGGAGCCTTCTCTGACCTCCACAGTTCAGCCTCACCTTCAGGGTCTCCCGAAGGATCTTTCTTTCATGGCTATAGTTTTATGTTATTTGTGTGCCCTTTTATTATGTGATCCACTAGATCCTAAGCTTTTTGGTGCAGGGACTATGGATTTTTAAAATTCTCATATAATTCCTGAACATAGGTGCTTAATAAATATTTATTAAATGAAATGAATGAATAAACAACTTAGCTGATTTCCTTAACATTCATAGTCCTTACTCTCAATAGAATATTTTTAGGTAATAAAATAGTTGTACTGACACTTCTGTCTGCTGTTGATGAGAGTCCCCACTGGTCCCCATTTTTGCTTAGAAGTATCAGACACTCAACTATTTCCAGTTTGGTGGGTGTGGAAGAGTATCTCATGTTGGTTATAATTTGCATTTTCCTGATTACTAATGAGTTCCAACATCTTTTTACATGTATATTAAGCATTCTTGTCACCTCTTCATGAAATGTCTCTTTATATCATTTGCTTCAAATATTGGTTGTCTCATTTCCGGAGATTTTTTTTGAATGTTAGACATTTCTCTCCATTCTCCACATCTCCTAACCTCCCTTACACATTTCCCATTTCTTTGTCTATCGGGCTGCATTCTAGTTAACTCTATCAGATCTATCTTCCAGTTCCCTGTCTTCTCTGCTGTTTCATTCATTCACTAAGTTTCAAATTTTAATTATTATATATTCTTTTTTATAGAAATTGTCTTTCTTTGTTAAACCTTCTAGGTTATCATTTTTTTTTTTTGTTCTTGCATTATACTCTTGATACTCTTTTATTTCTTAAAACATATTAAGCCTCTTACTTCATCTTACTTGATAAATTCATTATCTGCTGTCTTTGTGGGCCTCGTTCAGACTTTGTGGGGCCTGGTGTCACTTCCAGATCTTGGTGCCTTGCTTATTTCTGTCTCTTATGATTTCTCACTAGGATCTCATATTGCTCGGATCTTTTTCTGTAGAAATTCTTGAGAGCTGGCTTTAAAGTCATTTCTTCACAAAAGAGCTGTATTTGCAGTTGCAGATCACCTGGGGTCCTACAACACGGCACCACTGTACACTAAAGTTTCCTTGTTCTGTTTTAGCCCAGACAGGTCATGTGACTTCTGAGGATCCAAATCTGCATGAGGATGCACTTGTGATTGAATTCTTAAAGGGAAAT